AGATAGGATCAGCATTATTACACACATGCATATGCTTGGTTACCAATGCATGTCTATATGACTAGAAGCACCTTTAGGTTTGGATATATATTTAAGGGTTAAGCCTTAAGAAAGTTTTGAGATGTGAGGAAATTTTATTAAATTGTTCTTTAAAATACTGAAAAATAAAGCTCAGGAAAATGCATCATAGTCAAAACCTAATCAAATGGTCATTTCATTAATAGAGAACATCTGCTCAATATTGGTAAATCTTGTCAGCTAGTCAACCTGAATGAAACAGCTTTCCCTCATCTGCCCACTTATGGACCATTTGCGTCACATTATAAAGGGTGGAATAATATGATTAAAGGCAGAAAGTAACTAAAGCAAAAGGGATTAAGGGAGGGTAACCCATAGGTCAATTCATCTGGCTCAACAGATTGTAGCATAAAGCATGCTAGGCCTGAGACAAAGCCCAGCTTCTACTCCCTGACATGCATTGCAACACTGAACTTCTCTGAGCCTCCATACTGGATTGGTTGGTTTTCATTTCAACAATAAAGCAAATGTTTGTCTGATATTAAATAAGTAACTTTATATGAAAGCACTTTCCAGGACTCTTCAAAATTAGAAAAGAATAGAATTTATTATTAAACTTATTGTCAGAGATCTCCTTCATATGAGGTTTTAAAAATAAATAAGGCTAGAAATGCCAGCCCAAAGAAATTGGAGTTTGCACTCTAGCCCATGGAAAGCTTGTGTTGAGATTTTAAGTGACGTGATCAAAGTGGTATTTTAATGGGTTGGTCTTGCAGCTAGTATGGCCTTGTTTTTATTGGGTCATATCTTTCTTCTTGTAAGTCAGGTGAGATAAAAAATAAAAATCTACAGAATATACTTTTGCGTTTTAGAATTTACTACAGAAAATAGACATTACACAACAACTTATGACATTTATGAACGCGATTTTCTAGGTATTGATCAGCCTTAGAGTGCCACAAATTAAGGTACTTTAAGAAGATAGTCTTAAAATCTTTCTTAAAATGGACTTGTTCATGTAATAACAGTGCTTGGCTATGTTTTTAAAGCGATAGTACAACCCTTCTGTTGATATAAGTGCACTGTATTTCCCTTCCACATAACTTCAACCTGGGCAATAAATCCTATTATTATTTAAAATATTTGCGGCCCCTCACTATGAGTTGATTGTACCTCCCCTCTCCTTTGCTATCACACTTGTCTCTGTGATTTTCTTTGAACAATAAAATGTGAATGGAAGTGATACATATCATTTCCAAATAGAAACTTGCATACTTTCCACAGTTTCTTCTTCTCCTTCTGATTACTGTGGATGAATGCAACCATAAACATTTTCACACTTTCATTAAAAAAAAAAAAACTGCTAAGCAGCCATAGTAACGACACCAGAACTCTTTCAACATATTTAATTGATCAGTGACAGTTTTACAGCCATGGTAATAATAATCATCAGAACTGCTCAAGAACATTGGTCCATCACCAATAGCCTCTTGCTTCTAAAAGTCAACCCATAGTGGACAGACTTCCACAAGATACATCCTCTGATTGTCATTCAAAGACATTCTCACCCCCGTGACCATGCTTCTGTAGCTGGCGTCAGCACACTCTCATTTTGTCAGTGTGTAGTCCCCAGACTCCACCCTTCCAACCACCCTATCAAGGATCCGATCACTGCTTTGCTGAAGAAGTGTGTTTGATCTCCATAGCCTTACCCCACTTAATGAAGCAATAAATTCAGCCATAAGGTTTTTGTTTCAGATATTAAGTCCCTGTCTTATGTTTAGACAAATGAAATAAACGACTGACGAGATAGGGTTACTTACTGTCAGTTTGGGTCCCTATGGAAGACAATTGAGAGCAGAGCCCTGGTTGATCCACAATAAGCATGTACCTTGAGTGAGAAATGACTGTGATTTGCGTAAGCCACCGAGATTTTCCAGTAGTTTATTAACACAGAATAATTTACACTAAGCTGAATTATACAGACTCTAAACCTAAGTTATGACTACAGAAAATTACACAAAGAAAACAAGCAGTGATAATTCACCCCCAGTTCCTCATAAAAGCAGAGTTTTCCTCTTTAGGATCAGGCTTCTCTTCTCATGTTTAATATACCCAAGTTTCCATGTTTCAGCACAATATTTTTTAAGTTTTATTTTATTATTTCATTAGAAAATTATTCTTCCTATATACCATATAATTTTCAAAGACTTCTGCACAAAAACTTCACTAAAACAAGGATAACAACAACATGGGTAAAAATATAAAGTATATAAAATATGGCATCTAAAGAAATAATATACAACATGATACACTATCCAGCCATAAAACTTTCAATTCTGAATCAATTTCCTCTACAGCACTTTCTATTCAGTTTTACAATAAAAAATATAAAAATGTTAAATGTGCCCAACTTTACTCAACTGTATCTATTTTAAAAGAAAATAGTATGTATGTAATTTTATCTCATATGTCACATTATTTTCTAGTTTATAATTTTGTTGATCTCAGTATATATTTTGAAGGATAGTTAATGATAAGACTTCAGTTATGGAAACTCATTGATTTATTTAACAACTATAAATTGAGCACATATATATTTATATATGTATATGTATAAAGTATAAGGTTAAATGTTTTTAGTATTCCAAGATAAATAAAATACAGACTTGGCTTCAAGTTTAAAAGTAAAAAGAGAACATTGAATATATAATTACAATAAAATGTGAGCATGACAAATGGCATCATAAAGATATGATTAAAATGATATGCAAGAGCTGAAAAAAAAAGAAATCACAATTGAGAAAAGATTGTGGAGCAGGTACATTGAAAGGAGGCCCTGAAAGACATGTAAGAAATTCACACATGGGCCTAGCTCTAATCAACATAAGCAAAGCAGAATATTTCATCTCTTCAATGTTGTCTTGACCTACCAAGGTAAAGATGTGTGTCAGTAACATGACCTGCCATTTTCCTGATATATGTATCATCAATGTCCTCAGAAATCTGTTAAGAGGGGAGCATGGGGTCTATGTGTTGGGATCTGTTTTCCAGTTTTATCCACTCAGGCAGCATAATTTAACCTAGCTACTTCTTCTAATAAACCTCAGTGAAGTAGAGATTTCAGAGCAGCCAGATCACTGGGAATTAATTCAGGGTCTGTGCACCTCCCTGAATTGCTGGCCTATGGGGACCCAGATATGTCAATACCTTGAGTCAGAATCTTTCTCAAAGTAGACTTAACCTTCTGTATTTTATTTCTTCTATATGGGTTAGAGTTTAATCCAAAGCACTGAACCTCAGCTAGGGATTAATAGTGGTGAAAATTGTTAGTTAACTAGATTTGATGGAGCAGCCAACTGATAAGGCTTGATTATAGGCCTCATAATTCACTGGGAAAAATTTATTAGTCAACATTTTTACCAACAGTTCCTTACTAGTAATAGTTAAAGCACAGTTCTACAGGACTTCCTACTATTACTTTTCTCACTTGAGAAATTCCAGGATGAAGGGATTAAAAGAAAAGCAAACTCTTCACTTCATATCTCACATACAAAAGTGGGCAGCAACATGATTCAGGGAAATTTCCTGAAGTTATGATGAAATTTATAGCAGAACAAAAGCCACCTGGACCTATTATTTATTTTGCAAATCAAAGTAAGACCTTTAAAAAACTCATATTCAATTTTATTAAGCAATATTAAAAAGCAATAGAGCTTCCAGGACACACAGGAATATAGTGCACATATCATTTATATGCAGTTGTGCATAAATCATTTCTCTTTTTCTCAGTTGAATAGAATCAGAACTTCATGGCACTTTCAGAAAATACCCACTTAACTCTCAAGAATAGCTCTATAAAAGAATGCTTATCAAATTCTCTAGAATAAAAATCAAGCCAAAATATGAAGACTTTGTCATTATATGGACATTCTTCAACCTTTGACTTGGTAGAGTTAATATCGTTGCCACCATTATTGCTTAAAATACGTGAAATAATGGTCATGTTCTGGGAAAAATAATACATTAACTGTCAGAGTCCATGAATGTGAATGGAACTAAGGCTAGAATAATTTTTTAAAAGTTTTCTCTCTAAAAAGATTATTGTAATCAGCAGCCACTTTCTAAAAAGATACACAAGCAATCTTTCAAGTCCCTGAATCAACTATACTAAGGGGCCCAAAATAGAAGAAAATTACTGAGCAGTGGCTCAAAAGACCAGTTTACTATTTGACATAAAGTCACTTGATTCTCCCCAATTTCTTCATCGGAAAATGGGGATCAAATATTCATAAAAAATGTGGATCAAGAAAGCTTCAAGCAGCAAACACAAGGATATATGTAAACTTACTGTTTAAATTGTAAAATGTAAGAGGTCACAATTACCACACTTGTACAGTCTTTATGACTTTGAATTCTTGAGTGCATGGCTTATCAATTGACCATTGCTAGACCACCTTTGCATTGATTTTTTTGGTACTGCTAGATATCCCCCTTCTCTCTTTTTCTCAGTTTTTCTGCCTGTAAAACTGAGTTGATCTGCACTAGTCACAAATATTTGTGAAATACATAAATGTTTAAAAAGTTCTCTGAGACATTCAGAGTAAAAAGCAGCCTGCAAATTCAAAGTGCTAGTAAGATTTTCACGACACTAAAGTATTACTGCATCTCTCTGGAATGTGTAGGGCTTTTCTATTCTTATGACACATGCAAAATAAATTGGATGAGGGTTACTGGGTCCTGGAGAGCAGTTCTAAACAGCCATCTTTGCACCCAGACTGGGAAAATGCTAAATACAGAGGCTTGGAATTCCATCACAAAACTGTTAGATGGTGCTGGTTCATTCTTCACATAGAGTGAATTATATATCTCAGGCTCTTAACTGTCTTGAAACTGGACATTCCACACCTAAACAGAGAGTAAATAATCACTGAAAAAGATGGAAATTGGCAGCAAGAAAATGTCCAGAATATTTCCTTTTCTTTAGCCAGGTACATTTGACAATGTGAGAAGAGGAACTCTTCTGCGTTTCGATTTGTTCCGAGTGATTCCAGTAAGCTTCGATGGATTAATCAAATTCTGGCTTTTGGGGGGAAGGATTTACTTAAAATCAAATTGATCTGTTGTTCTCATATTATCACTGGTAAATCTATATTTACTCTGCTTTAGGGCTTCTGAAGAGTAATAAATTGTCACCACTCCTGCAGTCTGCCTGAGTCTCGAGTCACACTTGAAATGAGTTTAATATTTAGGGCCCCTTTCAAAAGTACTGTTGCTTGGCGACACGAAGTCGTAAACTTTTCCACAACAACAACAAAAAAACATGAAGGCAGAGGCAAGATTTCTTGACGGCAGAGTCAGATTGTAAATTTTCTCCTTGACTTTTGGGGACAAGGAAGAAGATTTCAGAAAACAAAAGCAAAATTTCAAAAAGAAGAAACTGAGAGCCGTGTGTGTGTGTGTGTGTGTGTGTGTGTGTGTGTGTGTGTGTGTGTGTGTCCCCTAGTGGCTGAGGTGCATCTAGTTGCTTTCTGGAGTAACATTCCCATCCATGAATTATGCCCACTAAGTTGTAAATTCTTCTTAGATTGTGCCTTTCCTTTCTTTTAATGGACACTGACCATGACTCTTCCTGCTCTGAATGTGCCCTGCAGGTGTTGCTTACTGAAGTGTGTGAATTGCTCAGTCTCATTATCATCTCCAGGGACCGCTGTTCTTTGTGTTTCTGAAGAATAAGGCTCTACTAAAACTTCACACCTCCAGTGTTTAAACGCAGATTCTTGCAATTAAAGAGCATCAGGTACATCTTCCTGCCAAGAGAGGTGGACTGCTAATTTGACGCATTAAATGAGCCTTTTGGACAGTGAGGGGTTAATCCAGTCCACTAGCCAAGCCCGAGAAAAAGAACTGACTCCCAGAAGCCACAGCCAGCAAAATTAATCCTGGAGCTTAGCATCTGGATGCTTCACCTGCCAGGCGGGCCCCAATAGGTCTTTTTCATCACTGGGCCAGATTAAAAGAGAATGATGAGCAGAAGTGGTTCCGCACCATCAGTGACAAGAAGGAAAAAGGCAGTGAGTGTCCTCCACTGAGAATGAGCCTCCTGGCTGCCTCCAGCTGCTAATGCCCTGGCAAGAGTTGGCAGAGTGCCACACGCTGTGTCCAGACACCACATGACCTGGCTGCTGGAGAAAGACTCAAGGAATATCAGAAGCCACAGGGCAGGGCACGCTGAACAAGTCCAAGCTACCTTCAGGGTGCCACCTGTCAAGCTCTCACCTGAGCAGACAGGATTTTTAAATGTGTTCTTTGGTTCTGGGCTGCTGGCAACATTTGTCAGGACACTTTTTTCCCCCTCATCCTGCTTTGTTTGTTTTGAACTTAACAGAAAATCAAACTTTCCAAATCTATGTGCCCTCTTGATCTTCTAGCTTTAAGAAATTCTTTAAGCTGCAGTTTTCCTTGTCTTCATGGATGTTTACTTGTCTGTAAAATAAAATTTAAAAAGCACTAGTGTTTTTTACATGTTAGTTTAAACATTTGAAATCCAATTACATTATTGAGGAATTGCCTAGAGCTGGAAAAACAGTGCATTCTACCTATCTAGACAAATCTGATGAGAAAGCAAAGGGCTAAGAATCTAGGAGGGAGGGCCAGCAGGACAGACCTGATTTGCTGGGCAAGTACCACAAAGAAATAATGAGGTCCCAGGAGAAGGGGAGCTCTGATATAGGGAACTGAATCCTTTCCAAAGCTTTCATAAGATGTGTTTTTCTTTCTACTGCCAGATAAAGATCTGTGTGGGGTAGAGGGGAAGAAAGAAGTAAGGGAATGGAAGTATTTGATGAAAAATGGAGGGGGATGCTTCAGTGCATTACTGAGGCTTTTGGTAAGGTTTTCTTCAAAAGTATCATGGGCAGTTTAAACAGCAAAAGTGTCTGGAAAGTAAAGAATAAGCTAGGATGGAGGCATGCATTTCAAGAGCAGTTATGAAGAATGTTGTTTTTGTTTAGCAGACATAGCTAAAAATGGATGACAAAGTAGTACTTTAATGAATTAAATCTCTGAAAATTGAGCCTTATTTCCTAAGTCGAAGAGTGCTTAATATTGCAAATAAAATATCTAAAATTTAATGTCGATATCTTGTATGTGCTCTGAAAAATAACAGTTACCACACCAAATCTGATGTTTTAAATTCACAGAGTTTGAGCCCCAGGGCTGGCCAGAACTGCAGTCCTAGGTAAAGCATAGGGCCCATGAGGAAGTCTCCAATTGAGCTCACCCAGAACTAGTGAGCCAGTGTTCCTAGCTCCTAGTGTATTCCTTTGCATTCTGTAAAGTCTAGTCAAATGCTCTGAGTCCCCTCAGCTAAGTCATACAGAATTAAACAAATGATGAATGCCTACCTTCTGTCTGAATTGTAAAGAGAAAAAAACACCCACAGCGCCAAGATCAGTGCGAGGCCGCCACCGTGAAGGGAAGGATCTGGAGTCACTCAGCGTGGCTGCTCTTCCACTGTGAGCGTACTCCCTTAGTGTGTCTATAATGTTGCAGATTTGTTTTGTCAGGGAAGTCAGTAAATTCTCGCTTGCCCCGTCAGAAAAGAATCCACATACAAAAGATAAAGAATGTTTGAGGATTCTATAAGTGCTATTTTCCCCTCTCATTAGATCTAGAAATGCACAGGGTTTTTTCTCATACAGTAAAGGAAAAAAATGAGTAAAAAATGAAACTTGTCATTTAACACTAATGAGATAAAATAAGCATATACTAATTTAAATAATGAAGATTATGAAAAAATAATCAAGAATAATTTTAGATCATATACATTACTCAAAATAGACACATGTAGTTATTAAAAGCTCAATATTAATATTTTTCTGTATTTTATAAAACTTACCTAAGAAGCATGGGAGAGAAATGCTTATTTCCACTTATTTAAAAGGAGGCTGACAAGTCTTAAAAGTACTCACTCAACTGACAAATATTTAAAATACTATGCACAGTGCACTATTCTGTAAATAATGGTCAAACACATAATAGATGCTTAAAGTTCGTAGTAAATATAAAACATACATGCATATGAAAACTATTACCTTGTGCGTCTGATTTATTTCACTTAACATATGGTCTCAAAATGCATCTGTTTTCCTACAAATGATGGAAGTTTATCTTTCTTTATGGCAGTGTAGTATAAGCTCATAAATTGCATGGTTTCTCTTAGATGAGAAACCCAAATTATAAATTAGAGCAAAATAAAAGATAATAGGAAGTAGGGAGAAAGATCTTTCTCAAAGGGTAAGAGGATCAAGAAATGGAGGGAGGGGGAAGAGAGGGAAGGAAAAGAAGATGAAAAAGGAACTGAGTTGTATTGTGTACATGTACCAACTCCACACAGGGAATGTAAATATTATATACTACAAATATGTACTAATAAAAAAAACTGTTGGCATTTAAATGTTGTAGTGTACAAAGCTTTCTCTCACCTTTTATTTTACTTGATCCTCTGCATAGTATATTTTACAGGTGAACCAGCCACACTCAGAGAAGTTAAGTGAGTGATTTAAGAGCAAACAGCTTAGGAAGTAGCAGAGTTAGAGTTCAAATCCATAGCTTCTAACCAACATTTCTTTGGCAGTAGTTCTATTTTCTAAAGATGGACAGCACACAGGAAAGTAGGGAGTATAAAATTGCACTCTGTCAAGAGGCAGAAGAAAAAATGAAATAAGGATCCTAGTCACAGGACATATTAATTTAGACAGAGGCCTTTAGTTTCCATTTTCTTCTCTGCAAAGCAGTTTCAATAGTTACAGTCTTCATGACTTTGGTCATAGTATTTCACAATGAAGTGCTCTTTAAATGTAAAATAAGATGCCAAGTTTTACTCCCATTAGAAACTAAAATAATCAATAATTTCAATTACCTGTATCTAAACAAAGTTTCTGAGGAAAATTCTAGACTGGAAGCAGGAGGTATGTGGGCAAAATGATACGGTCACAGAAGTTGGTTAATTATTGGAATACTTCTGCTTGTTTGATTGCCACCCTGCCCCTCTAGTCCCCCCTCCTCTGGACCTTTCAGATCTCACCATGAGTGAGAAACTAAAGGATTCATGCGGGCAGGCTTCTGCTCCTGTGCTAAAGCCTTGTCAGACCCCTGTGCCTGCCTCCTCGGAACACCCCTGACCAATCAGAGAAGAGTCTCTCCATGTATGTGCAACCTGCTTTCTAATATTGCCAGAGATATGTTGCCAGAACCTGCCTATATTCCTATGATCAAGGCCCATGTGAATAGAGTATCATTCTTTTCATGTACTGCAAGATAGTAATTCCACGAAATGAAAACATGTTGCTAAGATAGAAAGTTCACCAAAATGAGATGCTTCACCTCCAGGGACATTAATGCAGCTACAAGGAAGTTTTAAGCTTGAGAGAACTGAGAACACAGGGAAGGTAGTTGATTATTTATTCACAGTTTTTTGCAAAAGAACAACTAAAGACTGCTTCAATTACCCAGAAATTTGTTCCTCCAACTCACAGTAATATAATGCAGTTGAACTGGGAAACAGATCTCTCCAAAGCCAGCTGAACTGCATTACATAAACAGTGTCTAAAGACCAGAAATTTCAACTCTGAACACCAATAACACTTGCATCCAGTTTAAAATCTGAAGATGGCCCCTAATCTGTCAAATGAAAAGTGAAGAGAATCTATCATTATGATTTGCAGGCTGACATGATGTCTTAACCCTCCTCATTCAAGTATATGAAAATAAACTCAAACAAAAATGAGCATGGCACATATGAAGATAATCTACACCCTAAAAAAAAGAGAGCAAACCTAAGTACAAAGATGCAAAAGAAAAATCTACTTTTGAAAAAGATCTACTATATTAAATGAAAAGATAACAGGTTGTTTTTGTTGGAACCTGATTTTTATTCTCCATGAAATTCAAGAAAACATGGACTTTATGAAATAATATAATGTTAACATTTAAATGGAAAGGGAATTGACTATATCTGGTAAATATCAAAAGGGGGTCAGGTTGAATAAAAAGAAAAAATTTAATGATATAATTATAACAAAATTAAATAATTCGTTCAATATATCACTACAAAGGATAAGCAATCTTGGGATAAAAAGATAAGCATGATATTAGGAGTGATTTTCTACTCAATTAAACAGATTACAAACCTAAGCACTTCAAGAATACAAAAGACAAGAGAAAAATTATATGATTCAAATGGATTCAAATAGAAGACAAAAATAAAGTTATATATTTGAAATGGATAATTTATTTCCTATGAGAGAACAAAACAAATAAGACAAAATAAATAAAGATTAATGTAAAACAGTATAGCTTTGAAATAGAGTAAAACATTCTTTTGTTTTCCCAATAGAATAATTTTTCCATAAATTAAACAAGGAAATTGAGGAAACTTCTCAAGATAGATTTCAGGTCTTAGATTTAAAGGCCTTACCTTTTTTACATCATATTCTGGTGAAGATGTAAATTTCAAGGGAAAAAGAAATGAATTAATCATGCATCCTGCTGCTGGAAATAAGACAACCAGGAGTTACCATTTTCAGAGAAAAACTTCTGAAGTTGGCCATGGATTTCTCTATAGCATTAAAAAGCCTTCAAGAAAGTTTAAAAGCAAGCAAGAAAAAAAAAGATAAACATAAAACCTTAAAGAGGTTTTCAAAAAGTGAAATGTTTAAAAATATCATATTACAGTGAATCATGGATTCCTATACTGTATTGACAGCAGCAAAATTCATATAGCTGAATCTTGGAAGTATCTATCAACAGATAAGTGTGTAAAGAAAATGCATTGATACACAAGGGAGTACTACTCTGCCATAAAGAAGAATAAACTTGAGTCATTTGTAAGAAAATGAAATGCTTCTCAAGACAATAATGTTAAGCAAATAAATCAGACATACAAGCTTAAATATTACATGATTTCTCTTATATGAGAAACCAAGGTATAAATAAAGAGCAAAAAAGATTATGGGGAGGAAATAGAATTTTTGCAAAAGGGAAGGGGACTAAGAGGTGGAGGGACAAGGTAGAGAGGGGAGAGGAAGAGGATTAAAAAATTAAGATGTGTTATGCACATTTATCAACTCCCCAAAATGAATGTAATCATTATGTATTGTAAACATGTACTAATAAAAAAGAGAAGTGGTGTCCAAAGTCTTTGCATAGTCAAGTTATTATTTAAGAAATATGATGTGAGAAAAATTTTTTTTATTTATTGTCTTAGTAATACCAAGTATCAGAAGGTATTATCTCCTAGAGCTCTTCCTAAAATGTTCATTGTTTAACAGGTCGATCAAAAGAGGCCTGGGACCATGGTACACACCTGTGGTCCCAGCTACTCAGAAGGCTGAGGCAAATGAGTGCAAATTCTAGTCCAGCCTGGACTAAAGGACTGGGGATGGGGGGGGCGGGGGGCAGGCTAAATGAATTCCGTAAGTCACTAAAGGAAGCACAACATCAATTTTAGAAAGAGCAGAAGAAATTAATTCTTTTTAAATGCAGAAATTAACAATTTAAGATAAAAATTTTAAAGTAGAATTAATCAATCCAAGAAGCATATCTTCCAAAAAAAGAAATTAATTAAATAACTACTTTCATAAAAGGATAATTCAAAACAAAATACTAATATACAAATTTAGAATGAGAAAGGGAAAGTTGAAGTACAAGGATGCTTACAAATATCATCCATCAGGCCGGGGATTTAGCTTAGTGGTTTTGCCGCCTGCTGCACAAGCACAAGGACCCAAGTTCGATCCCCAGTACAAAAAAAAAAAATATATATCATCCATCAGCCTGTACTAAGGCTTTGAAAATACCAATGAAATATGTTTTTCCTAGGAAATATAATTTTAAAAAGGGACTCAGAAGAAATATATACCAAAGAAGGAATTGAAAAATTAACCAACAAATCACTCAGCAAAAATGTACCATATTAAAAGAAGAAGCTATTGTGCTATATAAATCCTCCTGGAACATAAAAATACCTGATGCACCTACCACTTCACATTTTCTTCCTCAATCTTAACACCAAAACATAAAAACGGGCAAAATAGGAATTTGGGACAATTTCACCTATATATGCCAATTTGAAACTTACAAGTAAAACCAGACTGAATATATTATAGCATTATATTTTTAAAATTGTCCACCATAATTGCAAGATTGTTTTGAAACACAGCAAAATCTTACTTTTATTGAGCTGTTAAGATATCAAATAAATAATTGAAAAGATAAGTTAATAAAAATTGTTGCCTCAATAGATGTATAAATGAATTTGTTAAAATTCCCCATGTAGTCATAGACTTCCCAAAAAAAAAGTGTAAGAAAACATTGAAGATCTGAGAAATCTCAAAAAACTCACACAAAAAATTTCAGACGTCACTAGTATTAATGGAGAGATACTCTCCATCGATGCACAGGGCTGAATTGCAAACTAAGACCAAACTGACAACTACAAAGCTATGCCATCCCCTCCATGTGCTGCAGCTACTTGATTCAAGCCAGGCTCTTCCTCATATCCCTGTAAAATAGACCCTGGTGGAGGCTGACCACAGGAATACACACTTGCAAAGCCCAGAAGCACTGCTTGGAATACTCTCAACGGGCAAACTTCCACCTTCAGGCTTCCAGGGATTACTCAGATTCAAGTAGCTGCCTCACTAGAGTTACAAGTTTTTTAAAGTAGCCCACATTCCAGGCCAGTGTGTGAAG